GTAAATGATACTCAAAAATTCCGTTCACATATGAAATTTACTTAAATTGGTCCTGTTTCCTTTACACATCACATCTCTCTTATTTAATCTCATCTCATCTTTTGGACATGGCAGGACATGGCACAAGAACTAAAGCTCTTTGAGAATAACACTGAAGATTTATTCTATCTTCTTCCAGCCTCTGATCTGCTGCTGAACAGGAAGGAGAGAAGAAGGCACAGCTTGAACAGGAACTTTGTGGGTGATTACCTGGGTATGGATGACCGGCCTGAGCTCAGGCAGTTTGTGGGCAAGAGGGAGAAGATTGATTTTGCAGACAAAGTCAATAAATTTGACAGGCGGTTTAAGGTGAGCATACCAAATTTAGCTACCCGAGTATCAGTGACTATTTTTAGCACATGACGTGTAGCATTTATATGTATGTATGGGTGTTTTTATCTGTTCAGAGCATCAAGAGAGACCTGATCCTCACCCCTAGATCTGTCTACCTGATTGGAAGAGAAAAGGTGAAGCAAGGGGCAGAGAAAGGGCTTGTGAAAGAGGTCCTGAAGCGCAAAGTTGACGTAGAGAAGATTTTGGCTGTTTCTTTCAGGTACGTCACCACACAAACTCAGTCAGTTCAATTAATGTAATGGCAAGCTACAACCAACCTTAGCACTCGAGGGAATCTGACACACACACAAGAATTGTATTTTATTCAGCCACAAGGAGCCAAAAGAGCTGCAGCTTCCCTCCCATAATGCCTTGGATAACCATCTGCTGAATTATAGGCGTAGAGACATCAAAGGTCCAGTTTAAATGTTAGAGCCTTCGTCTGCCCTGCGTTACTTAACACATGTTGAATCGAGAGGGTCTGGATATACAAAGCTTCAGTCTTTTAAAAAACATTTATAGTTTTTTTTAGTGTTCCCTGGAAATGATCAAACATTCAGAACTCTCTCAAAGAAACCTAAAGATCTTACAAATAAGGGCCAAGAAAGCGGTACCAGCAGCACCCCACAACCTTACATACTTTGCTTTTGTGAGTGGGGGGTTGTCAATAATGTGAACCAGGTGTTGCTTGGAAGGGAGAGTATACCTTGTAAAAAACTCATTAGAAAAGACTTAAGTTTATTGGGTGAAGCAGGGCATCTCTGCATGTGTCCCAGACACGAAAACTCCCAACAGCCCCCGTACCACTTGCGTTTTTTGTGACCCGACAACCTTTGTGTCTTTGGAAACCCCTAAAAGTGCCTCCCTCAACACGTGTTACCTGAACTGAAAGGCTGTGCTCATGTTGAATGATCGAACAAATGTGGATATTTCAGGTCTTGAAAAGACATTTGTCTCTCCTACAGCACAATGCAGGATGACTTCATGATCCTGCACGAGGACGAGTATGACAGCCTGCTGGAGTGTGTATTCAAGACTGAGTTCATCAGTTTACTGGCACGCAGATACGAAGAGAGAACGCAAAAGAAACTACCTCTCAAATTTAGCACCACGTAAGTTGAAATATCTTTCACATGGCATAGCAAAGGCATGACTTTTTAATGAATACAAATTAAACAGAATAATACAAGATACATTTTTTTAGTATCTGTATTTAAGTGTCCATATACTGTTTTGATTTTGAACAGTATGTCTGTTGTTTTTATAATTTATTTTATAATTTCATTTAATTTATTTGATCAACATTTGGTAAAAAATTTGGGGTCAGTAAGATTTGTTTTTATGTTTCTGAAAAAAGCCTCTTACGCTCACCAAGACTATTATTATTTGATCAAAAATACTGTAAAAACATTAATAATGTGAAATATTATTACAATTTAAAATATATATTTTTTATTTTTAAATGTAATTTATTCCTGTGATAGCAATGATTTTTTCAGAAATCATTCTAATTCTGATTTGGTGCTCAAGAAAAATGTATTATTATTATTATTATCATCAATGTTTTTGTGAAACATTTTATACTTTTTGTTTGTGATTATTTGATGAATAGAAAGTTCAAAAGAACAGCATTTATTTGAAACAGAAATCTTTTGCAACATTATAGAATCACTTTTGTCTTTGACACTTTTTTTGTCACTTTAATGCAATTTAATGCATCCTTAATCCATTTCTTGCTAAATATCTTACTGTCCTCAAACTTTTGAATGGTAATGTACATACCTAACAAATTTCTTTTTGTGAAATTATTTGTTATTATGTTTCAGTTGTCTTTATATTTTATTATATTGTTATATTTTCAAATAAATATTTTTTATATATATTTTTTTTAATAAATGGCAATTGCTTTTTATGATCTAATGCATGCAATGACATTCAAGCTTTTTATCCAGTTATGTTTTGCGGCCACTGTATGTTAATGATTGACCGTGATTTGGACCCGCAGGCTAGAAATGAAACTAAAGAAAGATGGATGGGGACCCTGGAATGCTGGAGGATCCAGACAGGTGCAGTTCATCCAAGGTCAAGGGGACGTAGCAGTGCTGCGACCCTCAAACAAAATGCTGCAGGTCAGCATTGGACCGGGTTTGTCCAAAAACTCACGTGAGTGCTGATGACTCGTATTGTGTTTTATTCACAATATCATTTAATATAATGTTATTTGTTATCCATGCAAGATCTCATACACACAAATTCAACCCTCATTCAGGTCCTACTAAGCAGGGCGTCACTCAAAGCCGCCCCAACACATCCAGGACACACCACCACACCCCAACACGAGTCGCACCTGGCCCTCCAGGTACGTTTTCCCATTCAACTAGTACTATTATCAACTATCCTAATCTTCCATTTGTTTTTGTCAGTAAGCATGTGTGTTTCCCGGCAGTTGCTCACCAAAATGGAGGGCTGAAGAATGCAAATCACACTGCCAATCAGAGGAACTCGCAACATCACAGCAATCAGAGGCCGACATCAGGAAACACGGCCCGTCCGTTCCTGCCTACTAATGTCAGTCAGCTCAAGGACAGAGGCAGCAGACAGGCACCCCAGCAACCCAACATGGATTTCCTCAAAGTACCAGACCAAGGGGCTGCAGGGTGAGAGGACACAGTACACACATTTCAAAATATATGGCTAACAACTATCTCATTACTGAAGATGGTTAACATTTATCTAATTGTTAGATGCATAGCTGAAGCTCATCTACCAGACATTATCCATGCAAACAAAATAGTGAGCTATGTTTGAATGTAACATGCATGTATCTCTTTACCGTAGCAGAAATCATCAACCATCTGGCAATGGAGGAATGTGAGTCTGAGCATGTGTGTAGTTTCTGTTAGGTGGCAGTGGTTGTGGTTCATTTGACTAGTGATAGATCAACACAAGAGATGCCCAACTTCAAATCCACCCTTGCATTCTTTCTCATTCTTGTTTTGGATTTCTGGTTCCTTACATTAAACTATCACATTTTATTGATTAAAATTTCATTTACAATACTGTTCAAAAGTTTGGAATTGGTAAGACTTCGGTAAGAAGTCACTTATGTTAACCAAGGCTGCCTTTATTTGATCAAAAATGCAGTACAAATAGTAATATTGTGAAATATTACTACACTTTTCTGTTTTAATATGTTTTAAAAAGTATTTAATTTCTGCAATGGCAAAGCTGAAGCTTCAGTGTCACATGAGCCTTCACAGATCATTCTAATATGCTGGTTTGGTGCTCAAAAAACATTGCTTATTATTATTAATGCTGAAATAAGTTAAGTTAAATTTTTTGGTGGAAATCCTGAGAAAAGAACAGGATATTTGAAATATAATTTCTTTGTAACATTACAGTCTTTACTGTAACTTTTGATCAATTTAATGCATCCTTTCTGAATAAAATAATTAATTTGTTATTTAAAAGTATTAACGCTAATTCACACCACACAAACAAACACCAACAAACAAGTTGGCCATTGGATTTAGAATTTTATGAAAAATAAACTGTCATGTTCACACTGCCCCTACAGACACCAACAAACGCTGATTGAACACGTTCAGTCGGGTGAAAACAAACCCCGACCAACCCCGACAGGGAAACGCACTGATCCGACAAAACCCAAGCATTTATCTGTGTGGTGTGAATTGTCCTTTACATCTGACAGACCCCAAACTTTTGAACAATAGTGCGTTACCGAATGGAGATCAGATTGTGAATAGCTAGTCATATGAAAGAGGATTTTCTTTCTTCTTTAACTTCAGCAAGGTTAAGGACTCTGGATTGGGCATTTTCTAAAAATTTCTCGGTTGTAGTCATGATGAGGGTCGACTCAGACACATCATGAAGACTGAAGGGCTAACAAATGGCCCTTCGTTGTAACAACTGAAAAAAAAAATCTTCTGAGGTGGAGGATCAACTGAATGAAGTCTATTTGGGAAATGTAGACTAGTTCAGACTGACAGTGCCACAATGGATAAATGTGAATCTGTCGCCACCTAGTAGGGAACACATGAACTAACACCACAAAATCAGACAGCTAACCCTCTCACAGCAGCTATCTGGTACTTCAAGATCCTAGTTGACTTCACACTTACCTTCACTTGTAGAAGCATGTTCCCATGGTTGCTGCAATGTTAGAAACGTCACCTGCAATTCCATCAGTTAATGTCGACTGTGTTTTTTTCCAAGGGCCCACAGACAGTCCACCAACAGGCCTTCTCCAGGAGGTGGTCGGCCCAAACCGGCCCCCAAGCCGAAGCCCCAAGTGCCTCAATGTAAAGCCCTTTATGCATACGACGCCCAAGACACAGATGAGCTCAGTTTCAATGCAGATGACATCATTGACATCATTAAGGAAGGTGAGAGCGTGCAAAATGCTTATTTATGAAAATGAAATTCTTAATGTTTCGTGAATCCAGTCCCTGTTTGTAAAGGTTTCATGAATATTGCTGGCATTTTACATATAGGGCCTTTCTGAATCTTTTTTTAAAGATACGTTGTGGGTCTTGTTTTTTTAGTGGCAAAATGTTGTCATTTTGATATTTATGCTTTATTTATTTGTCTAGACGCCTCTGGGTGGTGGACAGGGAGACTGAGAGGTAAACAAGGTCTTTTCCCAAACAACTATGTGACAAAGATCTAACCTCTTCTGCTGTTGATGAGGCGACCAGAACCTCAGCAAACTTGTTCCAAGAAGGATAAGGACAAAGAAAGGAGGGGAAATGGAGATAATGAAGGAACGAGCGAGGTGTGCTGCTGTGGCTGAACTCCTCATAAGCTTTGCGTTGTGTTGCCACGGACATTTGAGGCCATGCGGGCAGACGCCGACCGGACATGAAAGTTTTCTCCAGGGCGCTGAATACTGAGCTCTCCCTGTGAGCACTGATCAAAACTATTTATTGTATTTATATTACAGCATTCTACAGTTTATTTCTGATGTGGTTTGTTCATCTTTCATTGATATTTAAGGTGATCTTAATTCACTTAGAGATGAAGTAGCCATTTTATGTGGGAACAGGCTTTTTTATTTTGCTTTTGAAATGGATAGATTTTATATGTAAATTAAGGGGCTTGGCTTTAGAGTCACCTGCTGTTTGTGATTTATATATTTTTTTTCCAATCTCTTGAAGTCATGTCCGAATCAATGGTTTTAGTGGGAAATGTTTTGCTGCTAAGGAACGTTTTACCATGTTATTGCCTTTCATATTGTAGTTAAGAGAAACCCAAATGTTTAAACTGCACTACAGCTCTTGAAAACCATGGATTGTACTATGCTTTTGATGTTACGTTCATAATCTTATAACAATGCTGAATGTATCATTGTTCAAAAGATTCCAACAGTTTAAATTTAAACTGCAGTGGGATTTCCATGCATTATTTGGAAAACCCACACTCACCACATATGTCACTGTATAGATACGAAGCACTTTATGAGGACAATATCATATAAATGTACTGGTCAGGTCATCGACACCAATCGTCAAGGTGCTAGCCAGTGAAGAGATGAATCAGGGGCTGGATCTACTAAAATTTCTTAAAGGGATAGTTTGCCCAAAAATGAAAATTGTGTCATCTTTTACTCACCTTCAAGTTGTTCCAAACCTGTATGAATACATTTTTTGCTGAACACAAAATATGTTTTGAAGAATGTCAGTAACCATTGACTTCCATAGTATGTTTTTCCATACTATGGAAGTCGACTTCTCAAGATAAATTCTTAGATGTAAGAATGTACCCAAGATCAGTTCCCATATATTTTACTGAGAACATTTGTTTTTTTCTTAAGAATAAAGTGACAGATATTGGTGTTTGGTGTCTGTGTACTATCCTACTGATGCAACAAATACATTGGTAAATCTTTTTTACATTACATTCAGTAATTAGTTCAGACAAATCATTAGAAATGTTATTTCCATCTGAAACTTTATTTGCAGCATTTGTAGGATTTACATTGACAAACATTTTCAAGGACGAGAGTTCTGTTTAACAAAAGTATTTGGGAGATATACAATATAAAACTTTTGAAAAATGGGAGAAAAAGGATAATGTTTCATGAATACTATACAGCCCATGTAAATTGAAATGTAAAATGGAAGCAAATATTTAATTCTATTTTAGAGACACATTGTGGGCGAGTTCAATGGAACGATTAAGCAAGAGGCATAATTGATTTAATAAATGCCCACTGGATCAAAGACAATAGGTTTTGATCACTAACTGCATAACCCACAATTTTGTGCAGCACATCTGGAGCCAAACATTTTCACTAGCAAATGTACTTGGTACCAAGATTAATGGGACAACTGAAAACACACAACATTGTGTAGCTTAGTGTAATAGATCAACACCTCACCTAAATATTTCATGGCACAAATTTGTAAAATAGAATTATTCATGAATAAAAGATATTGCACAAGTGCAATATTCCTGACAGCAGTTGCATCATTTGCGTTTTGAGTCCGAACACATTCAACTTCAAGATTAACCTTTACCCCAATCCTATGACAGCATTAACAAGTCAGAAAATGGCATTAAATCTTTGGATTTTAATGATTTCAGCACCAATTTGCCCACTAAGAGGTAAAGCAAATATAGCTACAAACAGTTCATAAACTAAAACTCAATTTAAAAAAAAAAAAAAAAAAAAAAAAAAAAAAAGTAAAAAGTATAAACATTTATTAATACAGACAATCCAAAAGTATGTACATCGGTTTAAAAAGCAGCAGTCCATCTCTCAAAATGGCTGACACAAAATAAAGTGCAAGTGTTAGCGTTCATTCCCACATAAAAATCCTCAGGAGCTGGACAGCAGAGGAGCAGCCAGATCCTTCACAAGTGACGACTTCAACTGAGGAAGGAGGCTGATCTTCATGAGCCTACTGCTGGAGTATTTCTTTTTCACAGTCTGTAAGAGATGGACAACATCAGCCTAGAATTCAGTACGAGTAAACCCATGCTTTCGGACCTTTTTTGCAAGTCGCTTTGAATCAGAATCGGCCAAATGCATAAGTGTAAATGTAACATCTAATAGAAAAGTGCTTACCACATGCTTTGAGAGTCCTTCATTGACTGTAACCACATTTTTGGCAATATGCTGCATGATAGGCTTCAGGTGGGCCTCATCATAGGTGGAGTAGTGTTGTTGGGTTGGTGACTGGAGCAGCAGGGGAAAAGAAAATAATTTATAAAAGTGTGTGGGGGTGTGTATGGCAGAGAAGGAAAAAAGAAAAGGATTACCCATTTTTGGCCATCAAGCACAAGTTGAGAGAGGCACAGAGCAGCAGCTGCAGTCTCAGAAGGCTTATAGTGGACCATGTCATAGTCAAGTAGTGTCAGTTCAAGGAAATATTTTGCCAGCGTATGCTTCTCAGCATCCGCCTAGAAAGCAGTTTTAAAAATGGAAAGACTTAACATCTGAAGCTTAGGGGAAAAAAAATAAATGAAAAAAACCCTGCCAAACCACAGTGATTATAAAAACCTGTACTTGCATTGCCAGCCTTTGAAGCTCTCCGCAAAAAGTGCAAGGGCAGAGGACGTCCAAGTTCAAAGTTCAGCTCGCTGAGAATCAACATCTCCATCTCTCTGATCTGGGCTTTCGTAAAGGCATCGTCAGCGATGTAGGCAAAGTCCCCAACCAGCGGCACATACATTTCCTCATATTTACAAGCAACCAGCATTGCAGTAACCCCCACTAGCTGGAGCTTCTTACGGGTCACAGGCTGAACCTGAAAGGGAAAGAAAAAGGGGTTTAACAATTCCATACTTATGTAGATTTCAGATCATAAATAACATCTGTTACAAGGTTTTAAAATCAATTTAATTAAGTCATTCAGACATTAAATTCACCAAGTCATCACCCAGAAAGTATATCAGCATTTTACAGCGAACTCAGGTACGGCATTCAAGAAAACAACTGGCTGTAAAGGTCACCTGGAGAAAGCGATCAAGGACGGCCACAGTCATGTACAAGGTTTCCTGCAGGAGCTGAAATCTTGAGTGCACCTGAATCAGCCAGTCAACCAGGAGAGCACGCATTCGTCCATTGATATCATAACCACGCATATAACGGGGACGAACCGACTGCTGAACCTGCAATGAGAGCACAGAAGATGTAGGAGGAACGAAATGTGGAAAAGAAAAGTACTGTAAACAGACAAGCCGCATGTACCTCAAGGCTTTGCAGATACGCATAGATGTCCTTTACATATTCAGGACACAGCTGAGGCATGTCAGCATCCCCCTCGTCGATGTCTTCGACTGGAAAGAGGGTGTTGGAAAAGGCTTGACACAGTTCCTCTTCCTTCATGCTCACGTCAGCTTGAGCAGAGGGGGGCAACGCTGGGGCAGGCTGAGGGACATCATGCTGTACCTGGGCACGTTTGGGTTGCACAACAGCTGGCTGGACAGTCGGTTTAACAGAAAGCAAAGGTTGAACCTTCTGAAAAGAAAAGAACAAAGAGGAATGTGTGGCATCACGCTGTTGCTCAAACGCACAAGTTGCACAGTGGTAAATAGACACGCACCTTGGTCTGAACTGGTTTGTGGGAAAAGTTGGAAAGTTCGCCAAACACGGCCCTCCTTGCTGCACCGTTTCCAGGACCGCCTTTGCCACCGATAAAAATAGGGTTGTTTGCATTGCGCTGTATGGGGAAAGGAAGTAAGAACTAAAACCATGCTCATACAAGCTATTTCAACACGACTCTTAGCTATTTAACGTTAAGCTAACAAACATGAAGCTGCTTTGACGCTAGCAAGCCTTTTATCAGACAAATACAAACGCATATTTCTGCATTTAATACTCACCAATGCGTGCATTTCCATGACGAATAGGCTTTTCGAGAGGTCTTGCTTAAATGAAATGTAAAATAAATATTAAAACAGGCCGTTTAGCTTCGCTTAATGTTCCTTGTCCAACTCAAAACAAACCGTACAGCACAAAGGCCTTCTGGTGATTCAAATACTGCTCCGTGCTGTCTGATTGGCCAGTGCCTCACGGAATACTCGACTTCGATTGGTTGAAAAGGGAAGGGACGCTTTTCAATCATCCCTCATCATCTCCGGTTTCACATTTAGCTCTGTAAAACCGTAAAACACGACGTCGACAACATTGAACTGAACTCATTTAAAAGTTGTTCGACTGATTCCCTTAGTAATTGTTAGTTGAGTAGTCATGTAGTTAGTATGGTGTTGATAATAGTGTCTGCTGCTGATCAAGGACCTTTAATTTTTAAAGACGGGGCATTTTTTAAAATGAAATATTTTGAATATAAAGCCATTGCTTGCCACTGAATAAAGCAAAACAGTGAGTTTTGGGGATTTAAACCCGCATTCTGTTGCTGTGCGAATGTGGCCTTAGAAAACTCGTGCAAAATAAAATTGTAAGACTCCATGTCTGTTTATAATGAATATAGGGTTTTCTAGTTTTTTTGAGGGGTACAAATTGTGAGTAAATGTTATTTTTTAAATCCTCTTTCAATAACTCAAAAACTTATGGAAAAGCCATTGGGTCTTTGAATTGGAGACCAAAGGTTTAGAACCTCTGTAATAAAACACAATAAAAGCAACATTCATGCTTGTCATTCGTGTAATGAGGAAGCACACCTGAAATAGGGATTCGTTCATGAACAAATCGTGTAGTAATTCAATCATTCTTGTTCATTTCCATGTTCTGACCATAGACTGTAAAACAGCTTCTATTTTTTTTTTATAGTCTATGCTTCTGACCCTATGGTTCTGAATCATGTTTCCTTCACTTAACTCCATTTTGAATAAAGTGACTGCTGTACATGAGAATAAATAATATTAAAAGAGTTTTTTATCATAGAGGTCTTGAATCAGCCTGAAGGGGTTGTATTCGCTATAACAACCGCCTCGCTCTACATTATCCCACTTATTACATGGCTACCTACCAAATAAATCAATAATTTGACACAAAATATTGATTTAAAAAGGAGTTTATTGATTTAAAGGAGTTTATCCTCCAGAGTGAACAGAACTGTGTCCATGGCAACGCTCTGTTTTTCATGGCAACGGTGTGTTATCAAGAAATAATAACACAGACCGCGGCGCATTAATACAAGTGCATAACTCATTCTAAAATGTTGACTGTTGAGTGAGTTCAGAACAAACCAAAATATTGACTTGCCGCCACCTAGCGTAACTTGATGAGGGGCTCAAAAGATTCGAGACAATACACCATATTCGGTGGGTTGATAGGATAGGTTGATAGCGGTTGATAGTAGACTATGGGATTTTTTATTTTTTACATAAAACCATTCCCCATTTTGTGGGGGTTTGTCGCCTTTGACTTTCTCAAAAACAAACAAACAAACAAACATAATCGAAATTGGTACCTCGTAGACCAATCATTAAAAACGGTAATATTGCTTTTTACCAGAGAGTTGTGATTAAGGCCAATTCTGTGTTGTGTTGTTTCTATATTTTTATATTTAAATAACGAAAACCTCATAAAAACATACAAGCTTATTTTGCACCTTCAGTTTATGTGTAACGTAACGCTGACACATTCTGCCACTAGAGAGC